CACCAAAAATATAATCTTTTTTATAAAAATCTTAAAATTAATTAAAATTTATTAAAAGACGTTTAGGTCTGCAAAATTATGGTTGGGTCTAAAAGTATGATTATGAGTGAAAAAAGTATTAATATCCTTACATTATTCGTCCAAAGAACAATTCCAATTAAACATGTGTAATCATTTAATTTTGAAGATATTATTTTCATTATATTTAAATTTAATTTTCTAAATTTATTTATAAAAGAATATTTTTTTTGTGAAATTAGTATTTATTATTATTATATTCGTATTCTATAAATTCTCCAATATTTAATGAAATTTATAAAAACCTTTATTAAAAAAATTTCAAAAAAATTAACCATTTATAAAATTCTCAAAATTTTGTCATAAAATATTTTATTTATTTAAACTAATTTTAGGATTATTCTAATCTTTAGCAAAATCTCACAATTTTATTAAACTAATTTTAGAATTATCCCGACTTTTTTACAAAATCTTAAAAATTTTAAATATATTTTAAAATTATCCTAACTTTCTAATTAGATCATAAATAAAACTATTTTTTATTGATGACAATTAAAATGCTTAGTTAAATTTTTATTGTGAATATTTTTCTTATTTTTATTATTATTATTATTATTATTATTATCTCATCCTTAATGTTGATAATTTTTTACTGAAGCCATACTCTTTTGGGTTGGAGCAAGTGAGCTCTCTGCGCTCGTGTCTTAGGACTAGGGTTGGATAGCCCAACCCGAAATCGATGGGTTTCAACCCAATCCGACCTTATAGGATTAGTTTTTTTTTTTTTTAAAATCGAATTTCGGATCGGGTCGGTTATTAATAAGTGAAAATCGGGTTTGAATTTTAGCTAAATTCAACCCGACCCAATATTATATAAAAAATTATTTTTAAAATTTTTATTTATATATATTTATATTTAAAAAATAATATTTTATTAATTTCTGATCGGATTGGATTGGATACGATTTATACAATGTCAGATTCAAGTAAAAAAATTTTAAAAAATTTTCGAATCGAGTACAAATGTAAATTTTATGATTTTAAAATCGGGTCAGATTGAAGAGAGCAAAAACTCACCCCGACCCGACCCGTTATCATCCCTACTTAAGACACGTATCCCATCCAAATGTGCTTTTTGCATAATCACATTGAGTGGTTTTTTTGTTATTCCAAGATAAAACTCTTTATATATATATATATATTATAGTTAAATTTAGTGATCATTAGCCAAATAAGTGTGATTTCAAACAATTTGGTACAAATTTTGACATTCTTAAAGAACTGCTTATTATCTTTCAAATTGAATGTTCATTTTGTATTTTTTTTGGAAATTTTTATAACTTATTTTTTTTATATTTTAATTACTCATAAAATTATAATAAAATAAAAAAGTGATCAAAATAAATATTTTACTTGACTAAAAAATGTAAAAAAGTGGACATACAATTTGAAACAGATGGATATCAACAAAGACGCTCGAATATAATGTTCTTTTTCTACACTTATAAGTCCATTCTTTTAGCTTTATTGAAAGCAAATTGTGTTGGCAAAAGCATACACTGAACAAAAGGTTCCCTAGCACATGCATGTTGCTGAATTACATATACATTCCGGTTACCTGGCCATATGTGGAACAGTGAAAGGCAAGCAAGAAATCAGTAAGTAACAAAAATAATGCACGGAATAATAAATATTTATTACTTCGAGTGATAACAATTTTAATTTTTTTAAGTAAAAATTTTAAGTTTAAATTTTATGAATAAAAAAATAAACGTTAAAAAATTTTATTTTTTTTATAAAATTTAATTCGATTTAATTTTAAAATAATTATCAAACATCAAAATATCGCAGATAAATAAATAATGCATGGGATAGGAGGCATTTGGGCTTACCTGTTTTTATCGAAATTAAAGCGTAAGTAGTTTCAAAAACTGAACTATAGCTCGCCCGGAGCGAAGGTGAAAAGCTCGGCAACCAAAACTGGTGTCGGAGGTAACTGCGAATCTCATGTTCAGGAAAGTGATGGTATATGTACCATTAAAATAATATTCATATTAACTAAAATTTTAAATATAAAATAAATAAATAGATTTTGAAATTAAGAGGAACAACAATTAATTCAAGAAAGATTTTGAGTTGAATTTTTAATTTCTTTTTTAAAACAATTTAAAATTTCATAAAATATATATTTATTATTAAATCAAATATTCAGGTGAGACAATGTTTAACTGTTATATATAAAAAAAAAACCTTCCAGAAGAATATCGTGTTAATTATGAATTATTAAATAAAATGTTTGGATCTGATTATCTTTAACTTTTATATACAAAGCCATTTAGGAGAATATTATGTTACCAATTCATAGTTTGTTTCTTTTCAAAAGAAAGAAAATTTTCCATTATTAAAAAAAAATTAAAAAAAAAAGTGCAATGAAAAGTGTTATAAGTAGAAGAATTTTGTTGAAGGTCCAAATGAAAATACAGAGCTGAAGTGAGCGGGTTTTTATTTCTGCTGTCTCTCAAGATTCTGTCTGATAAATTGAATAAATTTATCAATAAAAGATATGTATTAAAATTTTAATTTAAAAAATTTTAAGTACTGAATTTATGATATAAAAAGTTGTTCTTATGCTACTGAAATTAAATGTTAAGTAAAATTTTTATTAATCTTTTATAAAAAAATGATATATGATTTTATAATTATTTTTACTTGTTAAAAGTTAAAGAGGAAAGAATAAATTATTAATGTTAAAATGAAAGAATATGAAATTAATGTAATTAGATAACATTTTTTCCTTAAATAAAATTAACTTAATACATTAAATAGTTAAAATAAAGTCACTTAGCATTTTCAATATTTTTTCATTAAAAATCTTCAATTAAGTAAATTTTAAATAATATATCAAACACATTAAAAATATATAATTTAAAAATTTTGATGATTTATCAATTGCATTGTAAGTAAGCAAGAATTCATATTCATTTTACTAACATTGGGCGAGCTTAAATCAACATTCAAAAGCCCTCAATATAATGTTATGTTTCTTCAATAATTAGTTGATGTAGAGAGAATAAGGTTAAGATTATTATTTTATACACAATGATAGAGTTTTAGAATTTCATAAGTGTTGTTAAAAGATTTAATGTATGTTCATTTAGTAATTAATTAATTAATTTTTATAAATATATCTAATATATAAAACTTATCAAATTTTTAATTTCTTTTGATGTTTGGTGGAACTTAAAAACTCTTATCGATTATGACAATGGGATATGGTTTGCTTCTCGCTTGAAAGCAGGGTTTTAAGAAGATGATTTGTGAGTTAGATGCCAAAATTTATTATTGACTTGATTAATTCTATTGATATTGCACTTCATCCTCTTAGTTGCCTAATTGGTGACATTAGTGAGTTAAACGAGAAGGCAATTGCAGTGTCAATTAGTCATGTATTCGGGGAGGGGAAATTTGTGCCACAGTTAAATCTAAGTGTGATAGATTGCATTTGAGCCGAAACATCCATAAAATGTAATATAGAGAATGGGCCTGGACAAGTCTGAAAAGAAACGAAAGGTGACGCCGTGATTCGTGCAGTGGCCGGAGCTGGAGTTTCAAAGCATACAGTAAAATTAAAAACGCCCACCGTGGGGCTCGAACCCACGACCACAAGGTTAAGAGCCTTGCGCTCTACCGACTGAGCTAGACGGGCTTTTGCAGTTTTATCCTATTATTATATATTTAAAGTTAAAATCCAATTTATTAAGAACCACTTTGATGATGATGTTTTTTGTTTTTATTTTCCATTTCTTAAATGGAAAAGCAAAAAATCAATTTATAATTTTTTGAAAGCTAAAGATAGTTTATAAGAAAATGAACAATAATTAGTTAAGTTGGTTAAAATAAAAAAGAAATTGAGTAAAAAGATTCTAAGAGAAATATAAAATATCTTAATGTCGTTATATCAAAAAATCAAAAATAAAGAAAGAGCTCCTTTATTTATTTATTGATCTTTTAAATTTTTTTTACTTTATAAGCAGTGTTAAAAAGACCGTCACGTATCTCAATTTTTAATTAATTTTTTTTAAATGGTTAAAATTAAAAAAAAAATCAAAGGATCTTTCATTGTAAATGGTTTTTGAACTGCAAATTAGAAATGAATTAATGTTGGTTTTATTTTCAAAGTCGGCGATGCTTTTAGCCCATTGAGAAGCGGTTCTATGTGCTGCCCTTCGCATGTCCTATTTCTAGAAGTTCAGAAAAGACAAGAGACAGCCGAAAAGGAAAGTAAAAGAAAGTAAAGGAAGTAATTTTTTTTATTATGATAAATTTTTAATTTAAAAAAATAAAAATCAAATAACTTTTAATTTTATTTTGTATTAAGTTTTTTAATATCTGAATTTGAATAAAAATATTAAGGAAAAGAAAGTTAAAAAGAAATTTTTATAAAAAATTATTATATTTTATTTTTATTAATACTAAAAATTTAATAAAAAATTTAAAAAAATTATAATTATCTTACAATTTTTTCAAAATTATCTTTCTTTTAAGTAAGTTTTACCTTTTTTTTCAATATAAATTTTTTTGTAATTTTGTAATAATTTTAATGAATGATTGAACGTAAATAACCATATCATGATTTAAAAATATTATAAAATCATAAATAATAATAAATTATATTTTTGTTGATAATTTTTTTATTTTTTTAATTATTCAAATAAAAATTACATGTATCTTTTTATTTAAAAAAAAATTTTTTTTTAATATTTATCCGAACGTAACGATAAACTTCAGTAATCGTCAAACCTACGTCTCCTTGACAGTCTCTTCTTATATCTTCGTAAGCGACCCGCTTTCTTCTCAGGAAAGAGAAACGGCCTCTTCAATTACTACGAAGATAGTGAAACGATCAAAGAAAAAAAAAATCGTGACGGCAGTTATTACTGGTAATTTCAGACCCGCGTTTTGCTTGTTCAGACTCTTCAATAGAAGCTCGGCGCATTTCTTGTTCAGACCCTTCACTATTCCCGTCTTCAGAAGAAGTTTAACCGCTAAAGTTCGCGTTTCTTCTACTGCCTTTTTTGAAACCAAGCCTATGGTATGCAACAAGAAAACCCAGATAATTGGGTTAATGGTTCTGACTTTTTTTTCTTCAATTTTAAATGGTGTAATTTGATTTCGAAGTTATTTGTTTTATTGTTCTTTCTTAGAATTTTTAACTTCGTAAACGTTTTGTATGTTTTAGGAATCTGTTGAGGTGGAGAAAGAGGACAGTGGCGGTGGCAACGGTTTAGCTTGTCCCATTTGTTATGAACCATTAACCAGGATCGATGACTCCCCTTTATACGTGTGAGTTCATATTGTTGTTTTTTCAAATGATACGTTTTTCAATTTCAACTTGTGTTTGAATTGATTTGAATTTTGGAATGGAACAGAGGATCAACAGCTGGGTCTAATTTGCAGTGTAACACTTGTAACAAGACTTATTTTGGTAACAAAACGCATCTTGACCTCGTTGCCTCAAGTGGGTCCAAGCAGCATGATGAATCTATGCCGCTGAGTACTGAACTGTTCAGGTCTGTCCCTGTTATTCCTTTTTCTTTTTTTTTTATAGTTTGGATAGTGTTGTAAACATTTGCATTTGAGAGTTGAAATTAAATGGAAATATCTGCAGGTCATAGGATATTGAAAATAAGAGTTTTACTAGTTTCACAAAAGGTCATAGGAGATAGAAAATTAGTCGAGTGAGTCTTTGTTGTGGCACATGATTTCTCTCCTTTGTCTCCTTTATTTTCTATTTCCTTCTCTAATTATAGAAATTGTAAAACATAGGCCGTACTGACTCTGCCAACCACATCTTCTGTCAATGAAAGGGTTGTTTTGCAATCATAAAAAGGTCATGGATCTGTTGTTTAACCAGTACACCATTGGCCATTTACCATGTTGCCCTCACTACTTATGCCCTCATTTAATTAGTATAGGTGCTTGATGCTATGTCCTGGGATTGTTTTTCTTTTATCTTACTTGCAGCCTGCTGGTCATTTCTTAACCAGGACTAATGTGGTATCGTTTCTCTATGAGAGGGGTTGGCGTCAAAGTTTTATATTTGGTGGCTTTCCAGGTCCAGAGAGAGAGGTGAGATGAGATGACAACTTCTATAATCTTGTTCATTAGGAAGGGACTATGAAGTGTTTAATTAGCTTATTATATCATAAGTTAGTTTTATGTTTTATGTGAAGCATCAACCTGAGATCCTAAAAGGTTGAAGCTTGCAGTGTTTATCTTAATCATGTGTGGGTGTCCTTTGGAAGTGATATCTGTTCATCTGTCATGTATATTAAACGAAAACTCTTAGAAAGTAACAATATTTGAAATGCTAACAAGTATAAAATATCAATGTGTAATCATCCTACAATTTGCACAATTGATTTGGCATGATATGCATGGAATAGTTTTCTCAATTCATGTCATTGTTGTTTCATACTTTCACTAGTGCTGGAGTCACTAAGTAACTAATGATTTACATTGCAGTTTGATATGGCTAAGAATTACCTAAATCCAGTGCTAGGTGGAAACATTGTTGATGCTAGTTGTGGTAGTGGGTTGTTCTCCAGACTTTTTGCCAAGAGTGGATTATTTTCACAGGTTGTTGCTCTGGACTTCTCAGAAAACATGCTGCAACAATGCTATGAATTCATCGAGAAGGAGGAAAACTTCCCCAAAGAGTATAAAAGTTCACCTTTAGATTAAGCTCATTTAACTTTAAATATTTTTAATTTTAAATTTGAGATGTTACCTCTGACTTATTTATTTATTTCAAAGGAAAGTGACCTTGGTCAGAGCTGATATCTCTAGACTTCCTTTCAAGTCAAGTTCAGTTGATGCTGTGCATGCTGGTGCTGCTTTGCACTGTTGGCCTTCACCATCAACAGCTGTAAGCATTTCTTTTAAATGTGGTGATCAATCATTATAGTTGCTTATTGTCCCTAATATTACTGGCATACAAGGGCTTACGTTATAGGTTGGCACTCAAAGGTGAAATCTTAAGGCTCATTTCCCAAAATGGTGGCAGAAGGCTGAAAAACTTTCATAACTTAGACTCTTTTATATTTGTTGAAATGAGTGTTTTATGCCAACATTACACTTTGTGGAGTAGAAAATAGAGTTCACCAGGAAACTGGAAGTGTTGACATTAATCTATGTTGAAATAAATATTTTCTGTATTTTGGAGAAATCTCTAGTAAGGATATTAATTCACCTAAGCTGGTAATGTCCTCCACACTAAATATTTATTCCAATAAGAATGCAGGTAATTGAACAAATTTGAAAAGAGCAAAATTGTTTCCGGCAAATAGAGCTTCTGAAGAAAAATAAAATGTGTGTTGAACTTGGCGTTAATAAGGTATATTATAGAATCAGTTTTCCAAAATTTATGGATTTGCACAAGAATCTGAGACGCAGTTTTTGTCTGCATACTGCATGTAATGCTTACTTTGTGGCATAAGATCATGCTCTTTGTTTCCTGAGCTTTTACCTTTTATAGCCTATGTTTTAAATGATTTTGAAATGGTTCACCTAGGTGGCTGAAATAAGTCGAGTTCTTCGACCTGGAGGTGTTTTTGTTGCTACCACCTGCATACTTGATGGGCCTTTTGCGTTTGTGCCATTTTTGAGGACTTTCCGCCAGGTGTATTAATTATTTCAGCTTTGCTAAATGCATTGACCACTTCACAAGTTTAGACTGGAGTTCATTATGCACTATTCCAAAGCCGAATTTGGCACTTGATTTTGTTTTTTGAATAATGAGAATTGAATTTGTCATGTTTTTCATTATTTGCCCAGTGTTATTGAATTAACTGAAGAAGCTTTATCTAAACCTTTCTTGCATCAGGAAAGTTGGTTATTCTTTTGATTGCTGATTGTGGATTATTTTTCTGTGTAGACTATAACGGGAATCGCAGGCAGCCATATCTTCCTTTCTGAACGTGAACTCGAAGATCTCTGCCGAACTTGTGGGCTAGTTGGTTTTACATGTATAAGAAATAGACTTTTTGTGATGATCTCATCTAGAAAACCCAGCTAACCTTGCATCTTCCCAATTACAGTTGCATATTATATTGTAGTTTCAGTAATTTTACAAAGCCAAATTTGTAAAGCTATAGAGTGTCTTTTCTAAGTTTGTGTCTCATGTTTCAGTTCTTTGGTTTATATAGATGATTTTTAATTTGTTAGGGACGTGTATCATTCACAAACATGCAAAACAAATGGATAGCAAAAAGGTATAGCATTGTTTCATTTATGCTTATCCGAATGTGATCAAATTTGACTGTTCAGATGTTGCCACATCAAGCATAAATGTAGCTCTTCAATGTGTGTGCCTTTGAATTTGTAACTGTTAGTTACATTTGGCGGTAAAGGACAATCTTCTCATCATTTTCATCGGGATCAAGGTCAACCTCACCTTCGTAATCCACTTCAATAACGCTTCTGTCTATAACATATGGTTTTTCTAATTCAAATGATTGAGTTTGAGAATGATCTCCGCGTTCAGGCACAGTATTGACAATGGCTCTGCATGTCTGATTCTGTAAGTGCTTTTGTTAGTTGAGCTCGCACTCTATCCCTTGGGTAGGTGAATTAAAGAATAGATGAAACAACAGAGAGCCATTGCAATTCCTATTGCTATGTAAAGTGCTTCTGCCAATGATCTAGAGGACAAAATAGATGAAACAACAGAAAGCCTCAGCTTAAATTTTTTTGGCTCTTCATGTGTTTTATATATGTGAACTTTCAATGTTATGATCTAGACTCTTCACTCCATGATTCAATATTTGATGGGGCATTTTGAAATACAGTTACTTTTTTCCACCTCCAAAATTGAGATTGATAGAGGACTCGTATAAATGACTTAGACCCACATATCTTACACAATGATTTGGTTCTCCTTTCCTGATTTTCTTACTTCAGTAAGACTCCAGCCTGTACGATGAACTTGTCTGTTCTGGTTTAGGTCTATCGAAATGCTAAATATGTTACAACTTATGACTTAAACTGGTTTGATAAATGCAGCTTTTTTAGTAAGTACAATGTAATATCATCTAACAAATAAATTTTAAAAAAAATGAAGGGTGGGGGGGGGGGGGAGTTTGAGAAACTTGTTTGTAGCCGGAGCATTCCAGGAAATGCAGAACCCTACAATGATTAAGACCAATCCATGCATTACACCTGTGGACAGATCATCAGGTAAAACAAGAAAGATATTGCTGCTAGAGGGGTGGCTGATGCTGAGCTTATCTGGGCTGGAATGATCCTTCCGGAATTTGGCAGACGTGCGGAAAGGAAATCCCCCATCCTACCTCCAAATAGGCCACCCACAGAAGTAGCAATGACAAACATCGCTATCAGGAATGCAGTTTTCTTGTGGGAGAATCCAATTAACTCCAACCACATTGGTGCGAATTACAATGCAGACCAAGGGACTGAACCAGTAAGACCCTGAGCCACAATAATTTGGAATGTTGGAATTTTTGTAATTGTTTTAGCTTCCTGAACTAGTTCCTTTACTTCAGACCAAAAGGATCTATTTGAAATTTGATTACTAGATTATTTTGTACCACCATCTGAATGTGGATCATTGGCAATGAGATTGGACAAATGGAGGCTGTGTGGGCTACGTGTAACACATAGGCAAAATAGTGGATTTTGCCTGATTTGAACGGTTGTCACCTAAATTTAATCTGGAAATTTATTTTCTTTTTTGGTAACGAATCCGGGAAGATTGAAGTACTGTACGGTAATGATAATTGCGGTTCAAGGATCAAGATTATCGTGCTCTTGGGATTTTTTTTATTTTTAGTACAGAGGGTGGAAGAGGCTCATAACCGAGAATTCATGCCCCCTGTAGGCTCTCCTGGGCCACTAGGCTAGGAGGCGGGGGACATCGGGCTTTTTGGGTTTAATTTCCTCTTTCTTGTATAACCATAGCATAAACATATTACAGGGATCTGGGCTGGGATGTGGGTTATTTTGGCCACAGAGTGAATTACAAATGGCAACTTAGGGTGTGGAGTGCTACGCATGGGCAATGAGGGGAAAAAGATGGGGCTAACTTTAGCTGTCGCTGTCATGCTCCAATAAATCGAGTAAAATGTTACCAAGAATTACATTAAAATATTAAATATATTATATAAAATTTTAAATTTTTTAATATAATATTTAATTTATAAATATATTAATTAATTTGATAATTAAAAAATTAAACTGTTTGTTAATATTATTATTTAGAGATAATCAAATTAAAGATATCATAGTAATTAATAAATTTATAATACAAATATTATATTAAAAATTTAAGTAAATAATATATGTGGTTTTTAAATTTTGGACCAAATTTTATTTTGATTTTTAAATTTTAAAATATTCTAATTAAATTTTTAATTATTTAAATTTGTATCAATATAATCTTTTTATCTACTGAACAGATTAAATTAATAAAAAATCTCACTTGATATGATATATAATCTTTAAAAATTTCAATATATGAAATTTTAAAGTTCTATAATTAAAAAATATGAAATTAAAAAAATCTTAATTCAAAACATAATACAATAAAAAATAGAATATTAAACTAACTAAATAAAGATTTGCTTCTCACTAATCAATTGAGTACATATAAATTAACTCAATATATATATTAGTTCACAAAAGAATTTAGCATAAATTTGTATCAATCCATCGCAAATATATACATTTACTAATAAAAAGAATTATAAATCAAGATAACTCTAAATTTTTCACAAGATTCAATTTTTTTAATACAAAAAGAAAGATAAATAACCTAAATTTCTTGAATCATATACAGCAAGAAATTTCATTTTTATGGATAATAATACGAGCCCATAAAATTCTAACACAAGACACTACAAAATAGGAACCAAAAAGCTACCTTTGCTATCTTGAATTTCAATCAATGCTATTAAACCATCAACCCAATCTAAAGCAAATGAAAATGATTCATCAATTTCTTTTCTTTCAATTTCCTCATGTTTACTTATTCTTAATTTTAGAAGAAACAAATGAGAAAATAGAAAGAGAGGTCACTAAAATCTCAAATAGAGAAGGGTTGGATTAGCCTTAACAGTATTGAATCTAATCCATTGCATTTCATTCGATGAAGGTAGAGCTGTTGTTAAACTTCAACTTTTGATGCAGGTAGTAGGAGGGCCATATGCTACCTTTCTAAATGGTTCCATCTTTGGCTGTTGGAGAACAAAGGGACCAAGAAGAAAGAAGGGAGAAGAGAGTAGTAAAAAAAAAAAAAAATCAAATTATAACAAAGTATTGATTTAGGGTTTTTTTTTTGTTTTTAATTTCATACTTTTTAGTTACATATATTTAAGTTAACTTTAAAATTTCATCTATTTAAAATTTTAAAGGTCACCTGTTATGTCATATAAGATTTTTTATTAATTTAGACAATCTAATAGGGGAAGGATTATACTTATATATCTTTGGATAATTAATGATTTGATTAAAACTTTTTAAAATTTAGTCCAAAATTTAGGAATTAAATATGTTCTTCACTCTAAATATTTTTAAAATTTAAATATTATATCAAATATTTTATTATATATCAACCGTAGCATTAACCCACCAAGTATACTTTCTTCAAGTATATGTAGGGGAACAGGGACGTTACTTTTTCCCACAAAAAGAAGTAAAAAAAAATCGTTGGTGATTAATAGCATGAATGAATTCAAGTAGTACAATGCCAACAACCCAAACAACTGAGCCAGGCTTAAAGCCACTATAATTAAAACTTGGCCCATTTTTATTTGGTTCAATGAAACTCTAAGAATAGTACTGGGTCTAAAGAAATTTTTGCCCATGAATTTTCGGCTCATCAATATTCTGCAAAATACAATGATTATTTTTGTTTGGTAAAAGAATTGAGAGTGGGGGGATGAATACAATGATTCATTTTGTCATGCCATGTTCACCCTATCTTTTAAAAGAAAATGGTGATTTTGAATTGACGTCAAAGTGTTAAATTAAAAACGGTGAAACGTGAATTAGAATCCAATTTATAAGCCAACTAATAATTTCTTTACAATTAATCATTGGTTAACAGATGAAGAAAAGGAGGCTATATTGGAAATGCCTTTCAGTTGCCAAGATGAACCAGATAGAATGGTGTGGCCCTATAAAGAAGATGGGATGTATTCTGTTAAAAATGGCTATAGGGTATTAAGAAAGACAAGGGTGTACTTGGTTTGAAACAACCCTCCTGCTCGTTTTCTGTTGACAGATGGTGTGTAAACCAGAAGAAGAATGACTGAAGTTTAATTGTGATGGTGCATATTGTCAAAAAACAAAGAGGTCCGGTATTGGAGTGGTGGTTAGGAACTGCCAAGATGAACTGGTGGAAGGTGTTGGGGAAATGGTGAAGGCTGATTCTGCAACGGTTGCAGTGCAGACTTTGGCATGCAGGGAAGGAGTGAAGCTAGCAATGAAGAAGTATAAAAGAATTGTGATTGAAACTGATTCTGAAAATTTGTTCAGCTATTATAGTAACCCTGGGTGGAAGTTAATGCCTGTATTGTATGACATTGTAAAGATGTTAGGTGTTATTGAGGAAAAAATTTATGTCGATTCGAAGAGAAGCCAATAAGGCTGTTGAATGTGTAGCAACTAAGCACAAGGACGGGATGGCTAAGGCAGCCACCATCTTCTCTGGTGCTTATCCTAAAGCAAGGAAGGTCTTGCAGCACCATCTTAGGAGTGTGTAGTTTCTGTCTCTGTTAGATTGAGTTCCTGTGTAAAAGGTCTCGGATTGTCTAGCAGACTTGTGGTATTGTTCGCTAATGGAAGTTTTAACGAAAAACAATTTTCTTGAGGCCAAAAAAAACAAAAACAATTTCTCTACAAAGCATTTGCCTAGTCTGCATTCAAGCATGGTTTGTGTCAAATGTTAATGGTCAACTTTTTTTTCTCTTTAAACAAGGGATATTTTGGGGGAAACGAATATGTCTTTTGTTCGAATCCCAATTATTGTCAATATAACTAGTTACCACGATGTGAAATGATAATGCTCAATGTACAAATCTGATAATCTTTGACTTCATTTATACATCGATGAAAATTTTAAAATTTACAAATTAATTTAAAAATTGTGTATGTATTTTTTTTAATTATATTAATTTTTTATTTTTTAAAACATTTTATTGACGAATGGTCTAAAAGCATTCTTTAAGAATTAAGATTATTGTATAAAATAATATTTTCGTCCAATGTATTAAAAATTATAAATAAAATTATCAATTATTACATTTAATGCAAAATTATTACTCCCTATAAGTAGTGTATCTAAAAACCACAAAAAGTAATTTAAAAAAACCTTAAAGAGTGTTCTACAAACACTCTTCAACACTTTTTTTTATAAAATATATAAAAAAAATGTGAAAATTTCTAAATCTGCTCATGAAATTCAAACTTTTTTTTTATGCTGTATGAGATAATTTTTCATAATCTTTTACAAATTATTATGTAAATGACCAATCAAATCAGGTTGAACTTTTAAAAATCAGATTGATAAGCCTAGTTTTGAGCAAATCTAATCTCAACATGAATCAAATGCATAAATATGGAGTATGATCTAAGATTGTTAATATCGGATCATATAATATTTTGATTCTTTTTTGAAAAAGGTATATGTCAATATTAATTGTTTTGATATATTATTTTAAATATTTTTTGTTTAACACAAATATATTTACAAATATGCATAAATTTGTATATAATAATACTAATAATATAAAAAAATATATACAATATCTTTGAAAATTAAATAAATAAATTTTAAAATTAACAAGTAATATAATCAATTTATTATAATACTTTAAAATACTTAATGTAATCATATTATATATGAATAAGCATTATTCTTTTTCATATAAAAATATTTTAAGATAAAAATAAATAAATGAAAAAATAATTTTAGCTTTAAAATTCTTAAATTTTAACAGCTACTTTCATAAAAGGTATTGAAATACTTATAAACTTTAATTTAGAAAAATAAATT